GGACAGTTCAAATTCGAAGACAAAGTAAAAACGACGTGTAAAATTAATAAACTTAGTCCAATAACGGAAGATGACGTGTGTACGGACACTGTAAATTCAGATTCTAAGGGAAAGCTGTTAAAGGTGATTAATGAATTCCGAGAATGTTTCGCTACAGGTATGGATGGAATCGGCAAAACTAATGTAGTCGAAATGAAAATTGAGTTAACGACCAACGAGGTGATCGCACAAGTCCCGTATAGAGTTCCGGAACCGAAAAAAGAAATCGTTGCGAAGAAAATTCAAGAGTTGCTCGACAATGATATTATAGCTCCGTCTGAATCAAGTTATGCGAGTCCAATGTTGCTTGTGAAGAAAAAGAATGGCGAACATCGATTTTGCGAGGACTACCGTCGGATTAATCAATTCACTCGAAAAGAATGCTACCCAATGCCCAATATCGAAGAAAGTTTACAAGAAGCAACGAAGTATCGAATCTACATATCGTTAGATCTTAACTGTGGTTATTATCAAATTCCTATCGAACGTAACAGTCGTAAATATACTGCAGTTGTGGTTTCTGATGGTCTGTATGAGTTTAAACGGATGCCGTTCGGGCTGAAGAACGCACCAGTCCTGTTTCTACAATTGATGGCGAAAATTAAGACGCGCTTGGAATCCAGTGATATGATTCACTACATGAACGATATGCTTGTCGGCGGCAACGATGAAGAAGAACTTCTCGGAGTTTCCAACGAATTTTAGGTGTAATAAAAGAATTTAATTTAACATTGAATTTAAAAAAATGCGAATTTCTGAAAGATACTATCCAATTATTGGGACATCAGTTGGGACCCAACGGGATAACGCCGGGTGAAATCAAAATCGAAGCCATCCGAAATTTCAACATGCCTACAACGCAAGCAGAGGTGCGGCGCTATTTAGGGTTAACGGGATATTTCCGTAAGTTTATACCAGGCTACGCAATTATATCCGAACCGTTGCGACAATTACTTAAGAAAAACGCCGTCTTTAAATGGACAGATCAATAAACAAACTCCTTTGTGAGTCTAAATGAAGCACTAACAACCGGACCAGTTATAACGGGCTACCGAGTAGAAGCTGACCATCAAGTGCATACAGACGCGAGTGCAAGCAACGAATGGCGCACGTCGACGCACTAAGTCGTATGCCTAACGGAGACTGTTGCGATCTTGAGGAAGCGACTTTGCGAGTCTGGAAGGCGGAAATAACTGAGGCAGATTGGCCTTACAGTATGCAATTACAAGATAGCAAACTTCAACAAGTCGTAATGAAAATTGAGGAGAAAGATTCAGACATTATTAACGACTATAGAATAATTAACGGACGACTGTACAAACGGTATAAAAACCAACAGCTCTTCGTAATACCAAAGGATTTGTGATGGAAGGTGACACATGATGCACATGTTAAAACAGGATACTTAAGCGTTGACCGAACGATTGAATACTTACTACGGTCTATGTGGTTCGCTCGAATGGGAAACTTTGTCAAATCTTTTGTGAAAGCGTGCATTGATTGCGCCTTCACTAAGCGTTGAGAAGGTAAAAAGGAAGGTGAGTTACATTGCGACAAAATGGAGCCTATTCCGTTCAAAACAATACACATTGACCACCTGGTTATTGTGGACAGTTTCACAAAATTTGTCATCGTTAGACCAGTGAAAAGTACGAACACTAAACAAGTCATCGCCATTCTGAATGAAGTTACCAGTTACGTTGGAACCCCTGAAAATATAATAAGTGATCGTGGTACCGCCTTTACGTCAAAAGAATTTGAAATATACTGTAACGATCAACAAATCAAACACATACGCAACGCAGTGCGTACGCCACGAGCCAATGGCCAAGTCGAACGATTTAATCGCACCGTTTCATCCATGCTGCAACCATCAACACAAGATGACCGAACCTGGGACGAGCAACTACGAAGCATTCAATGTACATTGAACTCACTGATTAGCCAAACGACGGGAAAATCTCCAAACGAATTGCTTTTTGGATTCAAGCCACGCGACATATTAGGTAACAAGCTGATCCAAATTCTCCAAGATGAAGACGATACTATTCCCATCACCCAAGAAGAACTCCACCGCCGACGATTACTTGTTGCTAATAACACCGATAGTAAACGGGTAAACGCGAAAAAGCGTTTTGACGATAAACACAGGAAACCAACGAAATATGAGCAAGGTGATTTAGTTCTAGCAGAACGAGAGTAACGGAAGTTCGTTGAATAGCGTCAGTTGGATCGTGATTAAATATTTTGTTCAGTTAAATAAAGTATATTAAGGTTATGTTATTAAATATTTTGTTCAGTTAAATAAAGTAAATTAAAGTTATTTAAATAAAGTTTACTAAAGTTATGTACTTAACTCAAAAACCACATTTAAAGTTCAGAAGTGGGATTGAATCAATGCCCTAAAGGGGAGTAATTAAAACGTAAGTTTAAATATTTGGCGCAGAAAAATAAAAAAAAAACGAACGCAGATATATACGTAATGATGGTGACCATCGAGTCACTGACGAAGGAACAGTTGAAGGACTTCTTACAACAGCAAGAGTTATTAACTACAGGCAATAAGGCGGAATTAGTTGCACGATTAACTGAACACGTGAAGTCAAGCGGCGTAGTTTTGCAATTTACAAACGATAATGAGGAATTGTGGGGTGAAAACGAAGAATTGAGAAAACAAATTAGCGAACTGCGGCAAATGGTTCAACAAGTAGCCATTAACCAGAATAACGTTAAAAACAATCAAAACAGTACTTCAGAAATGCCTAGTAAGGACCGTAACGCGCACTCTATACGAGAAATCGCAGAAGTCTTGCCCAAATTCGACCCAACGAATGAAGATTCTATTACGGCTACGCAATTTGTCGAACGTGTTGAAGCTGTTATGTCTGTATATGCGTGGCCCGAAAAAAGTGTGCTTCTTGCAGTGTATAGCCGTTTGAAGGGTGTGGCGCGCATGTGGGTGGCCGCATCACCAAGAATGCATTATACTTGGAAGGAGTTCTCAAATGAGCTTGTCACCGAGTTCGGTTGCGAATACGATGAAGCGGATATACATTACAATATGTCGCGCGTTGCCCGAAGGCAAAACGAAACAATAACTGAGTTCATTTTTCGTGTTTCTGCGCTATGACGACGTCATAATCTTAGTGAAATGGCTATCACGAAATACGCCCGAGAAGGATTAAAACATCGAGAACTACAAATGGCGATTGCTCCACAAAAATTCGTATCCGTTAAAGAAATGCGTGAAGCATGCGAGAACTTTTTACAAAATTGTATTAAGATAAACGAAAAGCCTTTTCATAATGCGCGTGAAAGCGAACAAAGAATACAATCGTTCAGTAAGGCAAAGAATGTTATGTATTACAATGTGGTGAGTCAGGGCACTTGTCAGTAAATTGTGCAAGACCCCCAAAACGTCCTCGTTGTATAGATTGTAATAAGGTGCACCCCAAAAATGAACAGCAAAATTGCAGAAAACCATCAGCTTTCATGCGAAAAACAAGTATTATCGACAATAAATTTCTTAAGAAAATAACGATTGGTGGCAAGCAAGCCATTGCATTTATTGATACTGGAAGCGAATGTAATATGGTCCGGGAAACATTTGCCAACGATATTGGTGGTACGCGCAGCAAAAACCTATTTACCATCGGTGGATTCGGTGGTGGTATAGAACGATCTGAGATACAAATCGACACGGATTTGAAAATCGATGAGGTTGAAAAACCGTTGACGTTTCACGTCTTCAAAGATGGTGTGTTGAATTACGATCTATAGGGGACGAAATATTCAATAGCGAAAATATACGCGCCATATATGACAACGGACAGTTCAAATTCGAAGACAAAGTAAAAACGACGTGTAAAATTAATAAACTTAGTCCAATAACGGAAGATGACGTGTGTACGGACACTGTAAATTCAGATTCTAAGGGAAAGCTGTTAGAGGTGATTAATGAATTCCGAGAATGTTTCGCTACAGGTATGGATGGAATCGGCAAAACTAATGTAGTCGAAATGAAAATTGAGTTAACGACCAACGAGGTGATCGCACAAGTCCCGTATAGAGTTCCGGAACCGAAAAAAGAAATCGTTGCGAAGAAAATTCAAGAGTTGCTCGACAATGATATTATAGCTCCGTCTGAATCAAGTTATGCGAGTCCAATGTTGCTTGTGAAGAAAAAGAATGGCGAACATCGATTTTGCGAGGACTACCGTCGGATTAATCAATTCACTCGAAAAGAATGCTACCCAATGCCCAATATCGAAGAAAGTTTACAAAAAGCAACGAAGTATCGAATCTACATATCGTTAGATCTTAACTGTGGTTATTATCAAATTCCTATCGAACGTAACAGTCGTAATAATACTGCAATTGTGGTTTCTGATGGTCTGTATGAGTTTAAACGGATGCCGTTCGGGCTGAAGAACGCACCAGTCCTGTTTCTACAATTGATGGCGAAAATTAAGACGCGCTTGGAATCCAGTGATATGATTCACTACATGAACGATATGCTTGTCGGCGGCAACGATGAAGAAGAACTTCTCGGAGTTTCCAACGAATTTTAGGTGTAATAAAAGAATTTAATTTAACATTGAATTTAAAAAAATGCGAATTTCTGAAAGATACTATCCAATTATTGGGACATCAGTTGGGACCCAACGGGATAACGCCGGGTGAAATCAAGACCGAAGCCATCCGAAATTTCAACATGCAAGCAGAGGTGCGGCGCTATTTAGGGTTAACGGGACTTTTCCGTAAGTTTATACCAGGCTACGCAATTATATCCGAACCGTTGCGACAATTACTTAAGAAAAACTCCGTCTTTAAATGGACAGATCAATAAACAAACTTCTTTGTGAGTCTAAATGAAGCACTAACAACCGGACCAGTTATAACGGGCTACCGAGTAGAAGCTGACCATCAAGTGCATACAGACGCGAGTGCGAGCAACGAATGGCACACGTCGACGCACTAAGTCGTATGCCTAACGAAGACTGTTGCGATCTTGAGGAAGCGACTTTGCGAGTCTGGAAGGCGGAAATAACTGAGGCAGATTGGCCTTACAGTATGCAATTACAAGATAGCAAACTTCAACAAGTCGTAATGAAAATTGAGGAGAAGGATTCAGACATTATTAACGACTATAGAATAATTAACGGACGACTGTACAAACGGTATAAAAACCAACAGCTCTTCGTAATACCAAAGGCTTTGTGATGGAAGGTGACACATGATGCACATGTTAAAACAGGATACTTAAGCGTTGACCGAACGATTGAATACTTACTACGGTCTATGTGGTTCGCTCGAATGGGAAACTTTGTCAAATCTTTTGTGAAAGCGTGCATTGATTGCGCCTTCACTAAGCGTTGAGAAGGTAAAAAGGAAGGTGAGTTACATTGCGACAAAATGGAGCCTATTCCGTTCAAAACAATACACATTGACCACCTGGTTATTGTGGACAGTTTCACAAAATTTGTCATCGTTAGACCAGTGAAAAGTACGAACACTAAACAAGTCATCGCCATTCTGAATGAAGTTACCAGTTACGTTGGAACCCCTGAAAATATAATAAGTGATCGTGGTACCGCCTTTACGTCAAAAGAATTTGAAATATACTGTAACGATCAACAAATCAAACACATACGCAACGCAGTGCGTACGCCACGAGCCAATGGCCAAGTCGAACGATTTAATCGCACCGTTTCATCCATGCTGCAACCATCAACACAAGATGACCGAACCTGGGACGAGCAACTACGAAGCATTCAATGTACATTGAACTCACTGATTAGCCAAACGACGGGAAAATCTCCAAACGAATTGCTTTTTGGATTCAAGCCACGCGACATATTAGGTAACAAGCTGATCCAAATTCTCCAAGATGAAGACGATACTATTCCCATCACCCAAGAAGAACTTCACCGCCGACGATTACTTGCTGCTAATAACACCGATAGTAAACGGGTAAACGCGAAAAAGCGTTTCGACGACAAACACAGGAAACCAACGAAATATGAGCAAGCTGATTTAGTTCTAGCAGAACGAGAACCAGCATCCACAGGCACGTCCCGCAAACTTGAATGTCGATATAAAGGACCGTTTGTAGTCACCGAAGTTCTCGATCATGACCGTTATGTCATCGAAGATCTACCAGGATCCGATCGAAAACAACGACATTATAAATCAATCTATGTGTCTGATCTTCTAAAGCCATGGTGTCAATTGCCGTACGAAGAAGAAACTGATTCCGAGCGCGAGGACGCTTGACGTCAGGAAGGGCCGACTGTTAACCTACATCCGAAACGCACAACTGGGCACCTTAAAATTTTTAACAACAGGTGGTCACCTAACCTATGTTTGACAGCGAATGACACAATCGAGTGAAGTAGAATAACGGAAGTTCGATGGGTAGCGTCGTGAATAAATATATTGTTTTAGTTAAATAAAGTAAAGTAATGTTATGTAAAAAGAAAGTCTATTAACGTTTTGTAGTTAACGCAAAAAACCAAATTTAAATTAAACCAAAGTTTAAAGTTCAGAAGTGGGATTGAATCAATGTCCAAAAGGGGATTAATTAAAACGTAAGTTTGAATATTTGGCGCAGAAAATTAAAAAACAAACGAACGCAGATATATACGTAATGATGGTGACCATCGAGACACTGACGAAGGAACAGTTGAAGGACTTCTTACAACAGCAAGAGTTATCAACTACAGGCAATAAGGCAGAATTAGTTGCAAGATTAACTGAACACGTGAAGGCAAGCGGCGTAGTTTTACAATTTACGAACGAGAATGAGGAATTGCGGGGTGAAAACGAAGAATTGAGAAAACAAATTAGCGAACTGCGGCAAATGGTGCAACAAGTGGTCATTAACCAGAATAACGGTAGAAACAATCAAAACAGTACTTCAGAAATGCC